ACCTTAGAGGAGATGGGGTGATACACACAAAGCACAGGCCATTAATGGCTAGTGCCTCCAGATGAAAAGTAAATGGATGTTTATTGTACTATGTTTCAACTTTTTTATAGGTTTGAAATGTTTCAAAATAAAAAGTTGTAGGGGGCAGGGGGAAGGGGGTAAGAGAACATAAGCTTTTGAGAGCAACAGACCTGGTATTTAAAACCACATTCTGCCCTTCACTAGCTGTGATACTTAGGCAAGCTCTCTAACCTCTCTTAGACGGTTTCTGTCTCCATGAAATGTGGGTAATAAAGTATCTCCCTTGTAAGCTGTGTGTTGAAAATGAAATAAGACAATGTATATAAAGTGCCTAGCTGGGTGCCTGGCAACTGGAAAGGAGCCAATTGTCATTTTCCAACTACCTCAAATCTTCAAGACTGAAAGAAACATGGTTGTCCCCTGCTCCCCACTTCCAACTACACAAGCCCCCAATCCTCTCTAGCCAAATATAAATGTCTGCCAATTATTTCCAAGGCCCCGTGATAATATTGATGTCCTGCCTCAAACTTCTTTTCCGTCAAATTGCCCTCTTAGAAACACTCCTTCCTATCATTTGGCCGAACTCCCAGCCTTGTGGCCACATTGCTCTCTAATTAAGGGCATCCCATCACCTGTCCCTTCCTACCACCTTCCTTCAAACTGCATCCATAAGCCACCCATGCTACTACCCCCAAACTCATGGCTTGAGCCATAGAGCTACACATCTTGTGTATGGTTCCACTCCTTTGAAAACCATTCAACCCAAAGCATGATTTACATAACACCAGAAGTGCTCCTGGCAGGACACTGCATTGCACTGTATCCACTGGGTTGCTACATTCTTTGTGTGATATTTCTCAAAGAGATTGCATTGTGGCCCTTCTGACTTTTAATTCCCAGGACTGACAGTGGATGTTACAGCCTCCTCTTTTCATAAGCACTGTTACAACTTCCCTTCTCCGGACTCTCACCTTTCATCATGCGCCTTTCACCTGATCATCCTAAACCTTTCACCATTTCTGAACATGCCCTGCCCCTTCAAGATGATTGGCCTTTTCACATGGCTATTCTTTCTGTATAGAATGCCCTTCACTCTTTTTCGGCTAGCAATTCTCCCATCCTCTGTACTCCACCTCAATGTTATGTAAGAAGCTTTTCCTGTTCTATTCTTCAAGTTTTTCATTTCTTGCCCCCCACCATGCTTGATACATATCTCTCTTTCTCTACTTTTTGAGCTGTTAGAAGACAATAACTGCTTCTTACTCATCTTTTGCCCCTAGCACCAACCTAATGCCTGGCTTGTGGTAAGCCTTGACAAATATTTATTGAATGAATGAATTCATTTTGCATTCAGCTTCAGGTCATCTTTATGTAAAATAATGGCCCATTAGGAGTCTCTTTGGAGCTCAGAGCTGGGCATCAAGAAACTGTTTGGCGGGGCGCCTGGGTGGCTCAGTCGGTTAAGCGTCCAACTTCGGCTCAGATCATGATCTCACGGTTCATGGGTTCAAGCCCCATGTTGGGCTCTGTGCTGACAGCTCAGAGCCTGGAGCCTGCTTCAGATTCTGTGTCTCCATCTCTCTCTGCCCTGCTCTCTCTCTCTCTCTCAAAGAATAAACATTTAAAAAAAATTTTAAAAATTGTTTGTATTCTCCATTTGTGAATCATGATAGGCCCGCTGAAACTGCTTATTTTATCAGGGACTCTCCTCCAACCTAAAATTTTCAGAATGCTACCAAGTGTGAAATCATATTGTTTGGCATATGTTGCCTTATCGGGCATGAGAATTAGTCAGACTTCTCAATGGGACAGTGTAGGGTGTAGGATGTGTAGGACAGTGTAGGACAGTGTAGGATGGCCTAGCACCTTACCAACAACTGTTCTCGTGTGTCCACCTGGGAGCAGTATACTTTATTTCCCCTTCCGCCTTAACACATCGGAGCATATCACAGATGCATATTCATCAATTTGTCAGGGCCACTAAGGGTGAAGATTACATCTGTTACCTGATGTTCACCTTGCCTTGCCTCTGGAACCAAGCACCTGCAGAGTGTTCAACAAACAGGTGCTACCTGGCTTAATTTCAACTCGACATGTGTTTAGGTTCCCTGCGGCTGCCTGGTTGTCTCATATGCCTGGCCCAGGGTAGCTAGATGGCATGGAAATGCACCTGCTGGTGATGGTCTGACACAGAAGTGCAGTGACATTGACCAGAAGACAGATGTTTATGCATGAGTCTAAACTCAGTCACGACCTAGAAGACTAAATGGTGGTGATTAAGAGCATCTGAGCTCCGAGTCTGACTTTAATGCAATCTGTCTTATCTGACGTTGGAAATTACCTAATTTTTTCCTTAGTTTCTCCACTTGTAAAATGGAGACAATTACAGAACCTTCTTATAAGTTGTTGTGGGAATTTAATGAGATGATTTTAAAGTACTTAGAACCAGCTTAGCAAAATAGGGACTTAGTAAATGAAAGCTGACCTTTGGCCTTTTTGCACATATGGAGCTTCACTGCCACAGTGGCCCACTAGTCAGCATCCTAAACTGGCTTCTGAAATCAGATGTAAAGGGAAGAGCTGCCAACCCTCTCTCCTCACCCATTATGATCTCTGACATTATAGATCTCATTCTCTGTGCAACACCCAAACTTCACATGTTACTTCCTAATATTTCTGAATATTTGCTAAGCCCATGAATTCGCTGCTTAAAACACTAATACTGAACTGGTCCCCACAGATCATCTCATCCAACCCACTTGTTTTACAGACTGCTAAGGAAACTGAGCCCTGAAGCAGGCATGAGCCATGCCTAGTGTCACACAGCTAAGAAGTGGCAGAGCTGGAACCAGAACCAGGTCTCCAGGCATGATGGCCCTCTTCTCTCCAATACACTTTGCTGTCTCCCCCAGAGTCCTGCTTTCAGAGGCTCAGCCATGTTTTCCCTTGGTCTTAGAGATCCTGAGGCCACCGTCTTCCTTTCTGAGCAGGCAGCACCTCCAAGTAACATGACAGGGGCCCACATACAGCTCTTTATGGGGACAGGACACAGACTGTGAGGCACATGTGCCAATACCCAGGGATCAGGGCCTCAGCAGTAATCACTGCCAGAGCTTCACTTACCCTTCCAAACTCAACAGACACACCTCTGTTTAGACTTTGGAGAGCACTGAGTTTTAAAGGCAACTGTGATGATTCTTTCCACTGTCTTGCTCTGGTTCTCATTTTTCAGACAAAGAAACTGGGGCTCGTGGAGGTTAGAGGGAACAAGCTCAAGCTCCTACAGCTTTCCAAGCTTCAATTTCAATCCAGGCCTCTTTAACGGTAGTGAAGTACTGAGGGTTAGATCTGTAAAATGGAAACTGGAGCACTTATAAAATATGGTTGCTATGGGGATCAGATGAGCTCATGAAGGTGAAACCACCAGTAGAACAACCATCCTTCCTGAGGGAAGGAACCATCTTATTCATCTTTGCGTCGCCCATGCCTGGCACACCGTGGGTAATAAATGTGCTTTAAAAAAATAATAAACCCATGAATGCATAAATTAATAAATGAATGAGTAAAAAATGAGGCACTTAGCAGAGGTGCCTGGAACACAAGAGGTATTCAATAAATGCTCCTTTTCCCCTCCCTTGCTCAGGAGGGTGGCAGCCAGACCCACAGTCTCTGCCTAACTCTTGGTAGGCCTTGATGGGGGTGTGTGGTGGGTAAGTGACTCTCAGGAGTACTGAGGCTATGGAGAAATGCATGTCTTCTCGGCCATAAGCAGAGACAGTGTTCTGAGCTCCAGGGAATGGCATGCTACCTTGGCCAGGGCTTTCCTCCGCTGTAGGGTAAGGGCCACCCATCTTCCAAGCTGACCTTGGCCCAGTAGTTACCCAGATTCAGTGTTAGGCCTGTCTGCATGCACCAGTGGAGGGCAGTGGCAAATCCTTCCAGTGATGAAGATATGACCACCAGAGAAAGTACTCCACCCAGCCAAACTCAACTTCATTCCATTCTTTCATCCTGACTCTCTTTCTCTGTCTTCTTGGGGCTTCATATTTCCGTCCCCTGTGTCTGGCGACTGAGTAAATGAGTGTCTAGAAGCGTGCCTAGCATATAGAAGGTGCTTGATAAATGTTGGTGGAATGAGTAAATGAATAAATGAAAACAGGACTGAAGGAAGAGACAGGCTGACTGATGTCTGTCTATTTATTTGCACAGGGTCCTACAGGGCCAAGACCCCTCCCTCCCCACCCTCTCCCCTGTAAAAATAAACTCTATCTTTCTCTTTCCCTGTTCTATCTGCTTTTCTGCTTGGGCCAGGGAAGATAGTCATCCCCTAAGACTTGTGCCCCAAGACACAGGAACCAGCATCCCCTATACATACACACCACACATACTTCCCCTGAGCCCAGGGAAACCAGGATGCAGCAGGAGGGCTTGTAAAGGCCCTCAGGCTTCCACTAAGAGCTGAGTACAGTTGGTCTGTCAATGAGGGTTGGCAGGAGTATTGGGAGCAGCAGCATGAGGAACATAGGGTGGGGGACAGCCCCTGAGGGGGAGCTGAAAGGAGCTGAATCCACTCCCAAGTGGACACTGAGTGAGCCTCTGGGAGAAGCATGGGAGGCACACCACCCCAGACCCTGTGTGGTCAGAGTACAGCAGGCACAGCAGGTCCCAAGGCCACCAAGTCAAGTGATCTTAGGACCAGAAGAGGCAGACTCCTTCCTGCGGGAACTGGTGCTCCCCACCCAGGCCTCTTCCAGGCAGGGTGACATGGAAGGATGTCACAGTGAATGGTGGGGGCTCCGCTGGAGGCAGGGGTACCCCCAAAGCAGAGGCACAATGTGGTGTTTGAGGGAGGACCGGGACTCACGTCACCTGTGGTGAGGAGCTGGCATTTGACCTTTCTAAACCTGGAGTGAACATCCTTGCCTGGCGAGCTGCCCCAGGCCCTGGCAACAGCCAGCCAATTCTCCCCAGTCCCACGTCTACCACACCTCACACAGCTGCCCTGGGTTCATGGGAGAGCCGACAGGGCAGCCGAAGTGCCACAGGAAGTCACGGGAGTTGGAGAGAGTACCCAGCACGCGGAAGCGAGCAGGGCTGTGGGGGTCGGTCACCAGCCCCTCGTGAGAGCTCTCGGGTGTGCGGACTGAGCACCACACCTGCAGGCCAGGACAGACATGGGGACATATGGTGTCTAGTGCGGGCAGGGCCACAGACTTGGCTGCAGCCGAGCCATCCCGGGGACGCAAACCACCACTACCCCCAGCCTCTCTGCTCAGGAGGTCTCGGGGCCACACCCAGCATCTCAGCTATAACCCCTTGCTATCAGCACCAAAGGAAGGAAGCACGCCCTCCCTCCCAAACTCCTTGAAGGCCTTTCAGAGGCGCCCTGGACAGTGGGTTGCCCAGATTGGATGCATCCGAGGGGAAGAAGCATGGCCCCCAGAGGCTGCCTGCCGGAGTGCAAAGTACCTTCAGGAAACCCTGAGCAAGGAGACTTGCTCTGCCATTTCCTTTATTCCTGGGTAGCCCTGGATGAGCCACTTTGTCCCCAAGCTTCAGCTGCCTCCTCCACAGCCACCTCACAGGAACATGGCAGGGATCAATCCTGCTCCCTACCTGCCGCCCCTCAAGCAGGACAGCCTTGCCCTTTGAGATCTGCAAAAGCCTGAAGAGTTCTCCTTCCTCAGGCCTCTCTGCATGCTTTCACAAGCCCCAGCTGAGAAGCTCTGGGCACCAGGCCTTCCCAGACCACCTTCCATACCCCAACTTCAGCCCTATTTCCCAGTCCCTTTCCTGCATGCCCCAGACTTCTAATGACATGCCCAGGAGGGAGTGGGAGAGGGGCAGGCTCCAGGCCTCCTAGGAGGGCAATACCTGGGCAAATCCCACAAAGAAGAGCTGGTGATTGGTGAGCCCCACAGCCGGCAACTGCTGCTCCTCCCCGTGCTTTCTCAGCCACGCTTTGTAAGCCTGGGGTCAGGCACAGGACGGGCAAGGCCATCAGGGGTAGCCCACCACCTCCACCCGCTGCCCATGTCCCCCAGGGTGGGTGAGCCTCGGCCACCAGAGGCCCACCAGGCCACTCACATTATAGGCAGCCTTAAGTCCCCCGTTGTCAGCGATGTTCTCCCCCAGCGTCTGGCGGCCGTTGAGCCTCTCCCCATTGACCTGGTACTGGCTGTACTGCTCCTCCATGCAGGCCGTGTGATTCCGGAAGGCTGCCAGTGACTCATTCTGCCACCAGGGCCGCAGGTTCCCTTCCTTGTCATATTCGCGCCCTGAGAAGAACTAACCTTTGCACCACACCAAGACCAGAGCAGCCTTCCACCAGCCCTAGTCCACAGACTCCAGGGTCCGTGTGGCCTGCTCCCAATATCCCAAGGCCTCGCAAGAACCACCAGGAATTCTAGGCTGGAGGGGGCAACTCTGTGGGCCTCTACCTTGGTCATCAAAGGCATGTGTCAACTCATGGCCCATCACCACGCCGATGCCACCAAAGTTCAGGGCCCTGGTAGGTGAGGAATGCTGCATGAGGACATGGTAGGGGAACTTCTGGATCCCACCTCCAGCCCTGCGCTCAGCTCATCCGCAGGCCCAAGCCCCAGGACCCAGCCCCTCCTGCCTCAGACACACTTGGGGTGGTTCCGGGTGTAGAAGGGGGCCTGCAGGATGCCAGCGGGGAAGACGATCTCATTCTTGGTTGGAAGGTAGTAGGCATTCACCGTCTGGGGCGTCATGCTCCACCTGGGAGAGCAAAAGGGAGAGGCTGAGGCTCCTGACTCTCCTGATGCCCCTCCCAGCCCAGCAGCCTTGACCTATCTCCTGCAAAGACCTTGCGCCTCTGGTTGAAATGTCTTGCCACCCCCTTCCCCAGCCCTGGAAATCTCCCCTACCTCTCCTGCTGCCCCAA